TGGGAGCCAGCTGCCGACGCGCCGTGGTGCCCCTACAAGGTGCTGCCAGAAGGCCCTGAGGCGGGTGGCGGCCGCCTCTGCTTCCGCAGCCCCGCACGCGGCTTCCGCTGCCAGGCGCCAGGCTGCGCGGCGCACGGTTCCGCCGGTCACTCGCTGCGCGCCAGCGTCCTGCGCAACCGCAGCGTTCTGCTGCAGTGGCGCCTGGCGCCCTCCGAAGCGCACCATCTGCGCGGCTTCGCGCTCAATTGCTCGTGGCGCGGCGCCTACACGCGCTTCCCGTGCGAGCGCGTGCTCCTCGGCGCCTCGTGCCGCGACTACCTGCTGCCCGACGTGCACGACGGCGTGCGCTACCGCCTGTGCCTGCAGCCGCTGCCACTGCGCGCCGCGCCCGAGGCGCCCCACGCGGCCGCTGCACCTGCCACACCACCGCCGCTTGCGCCCGCGGAGTGTGTGGAGTTCGCCGCCGAGCCAGCCGGCATGCGGGAGATCGTGGTGGCGATGACAGCGGTGGGTGGCTCCATCTGCGTAATGCTTGTGGTCATCTGCCTGCTGGTGGCCTACATCACCGAGAACCTCATGCACCCGGCCTTCGGGCGCCCTGGGCTACGCAGGCAGCCCTGAGCCTCGGGGCTGGCCGGAGCGCAAGGAGTACTTCTGAACCCTGGGCCCGTCTGCCCGCCCTCCCTGCCCTGCTGTTCCTGCGCTCATCTTAGGATCCCTCTCAGCGCCTGATGGACTTGGACGGACTTTGACCAGGATCACCTGGCCCACAGAGCCGGGACCTTACCATCGCAGAATCTTCCTGGTTAGGTGTTTGTGTCCCAGAGTCCAGCTCAGGATTGGCCCTTGGGCCCAGGCTTTAGTGCCAACCACGTCCAGGGCTTTCCTCTCTCTCTCTCCAAAGGCCTTTATAGGGGCTGCCAGGACACATGGCCCCTTCCAGCAAGAGCCATTGTCACACCACACCTGCAGCCTGTGCCAACTTGGCAGAGCTGGGCCATCATCACTGCTTGGTCACTGTGTGCATTGCAGGTTCAAGGGCCCCTTGAAGCCTATCCTCCCCCGACCTCACCCCAGTGGGCTTGGGTTTGCTTTGTGCCTTAGTCTCGGGCCCACTGCAGGAGCCACCTGCCCATACCCCTGGCCAGAGCCCAGCACCCTATTGTCCAAGAGAGTCTGGTCCTGAGACTTGCTGGCTTGTGTGTGCTCCACCTAGATCCCTGTCCCCCAGGATTGGATTCCCCTTCACTGCTTTGCAGGAACACCCTATTGCCCTGATCGTAAGGCCAGGTCAAGTAGCATATTGGGTGTTTTCTGTTTGGGTGACTGATGATCCTGCAGCTGTGATGTAGCCCAGCAGTCCCAGGGTCCACCTGCTTCATCCAGGGTGAGTGTTCCTGGCCTTGGGGGAAGCTGGCTGCTATCTAGGGTTGGTGACCTGTTTTATGTGGGCCACTTTGAACAGGGACCTCCAATTGAGGGTAGACAGGAGCAGGTCACTAGGAAGAGGGGACTTTTGGGTGTAGCATTGGACTAAGAGAGAATAGTTAATGTTAGCTGGGCCTGGGAGGCATCTTTCACTGTGGACTGGACCCCAGGCCTCCACCTCCTAGTAATCTTGGTGGCCATGGTGACTGAGGGAACCACCACCATCTTCCCAGAGCTTGGGGTTAGGAGCCTAGGATCCCACACCCTGGATGGAAGACTGGCCTTGCATCTTCCAGACTCCAGTACCTTGGCCCCCTGCCAGTGCTGCCCAGCTCTCTGTGAGCCCTAGACTCTGATCACTCTTGGGACTTGACCTTGGAGCTTCTTGGGAGTCACTGTGGCTACCCCCACTCCAGCGACCACCAGCCCTGACAGGTGCTCCACGGCACCCATTCTCCATCTCCTGTCTCTACTCTGCCCGCCCCTGGCACGGCGCTGGCCAACTGTGAGCCTGGCGTCCGTGCCTAAAGTCTTCATCTTTCTCTCAGACCAACAGTGCTGTCACGTGTGTTTATTTGGGAAGCAGGAAGGAAGGGTTCAGAGTTGAGAGATGGAGAGGGTGAACCCCTTCTCCCCAGCTCCCCTAAAGGTCTCTTGAGCATCAGTAGAGTGACTGAGCCTGCCTCTCTTTCTCCAGCAGGGTGGGGTCTTTCCCAGGCAGGGGGTGCACTGGCACCCAGCCCTTATCGCTTCTGGCAGGAGGACAGCTGTGGCCCGCTGCCCATCTGTCCACCTACGACCTTGGGAAATAAGCCAACAGCATCTCCTCAGCCTGCTGTCGGGCGGGGGTGGGGGTGCAGCACCTGCTGCAGTTAGAAATAGCCTAGTCTCACAGTGACCCATTTGAGCAGCGACAGGCAGCAATTAGGTGGCTGGGGAGGGGGATGGCTCCCAGCTCCCCTCCCCCAACAGTGTTGAAGTCCTGGTGGGGTGGACTGGGTGATATACCTGGGCTAATAGTGTGGCAAGTGTGTGGAGTCACTATCCTCACCCCAACTCACCTCCCTCTCCCCAGCTCACCTCCTTCTCCCCACCTCTGTCCTTGAGCCAATGCCCATGACCCTGAGAATATACAGGCAGCTGGGGGCGGCCAGGCTCTGAGGAGTGACTCATTCCCTGAGGGGAGGGAGGCTGGGGTGTAGTGATGTGTCTAGACAGCCAGGGGTGGTAGTGGGAGGGGGTGCTGGCTCCAGCAGTGTCAGTACTGGTCCCTGGAGCCCCTGGGCCTTGCTGGACTCCTGCCCACCTGTCAATGCGCAGATAATCTTCCATGGAGCAAGAATCTGCACCGGTGGGGCCCACTCCAAGGTGCCTGGGATCTGGGGGCCTCAGGCTGCAGCCATACACCCCTCTTAAGACTGGGGTGTCATTGGATTCCAAGGCTTGACTGTAACGTTATATGAGGCCTCGCCTTCTGGATGTCCACCCTTGCCCTCGGTTGGTTCCCATCAGGAGCATGAGCTCCACATTGGGAATGCTGGGTGAGCCAACTCCGTGGGCTCAGATTTGTCACGCAGCCTTGTCCTCCTGCACCAGAGAAGGCAGGTTTGTGTCTTAAGGTCCAGTCCAGGGCTTCATGGGGATTCAAGATTCAGCTTTGGCTCACTGGACCAGAGCCTGAGGGCCCCACCTGCAGAGTCAGATGAGCCCTGACCAAGGAGAACCTGGTCCTGGAGTCCGGTCAGAGGCTTCTAGCTGAGCTAGAGTAATCTGGACAGCCCCATTCTCCCCCCAAGACCACAAGGTGCTTCTCAGCTCCTTACAGCCTTTGTGCAGACTGCCTGTGAGGCTGACATCGCATCGCCAGCCCCATCCAGATGTTTCCTTCATTGTCTTCCTTAAGCTCCCAGCTTCTGGTGGCTTCTTGGCTCCCATTTAGTGACCAGGGTAGCATGTGAGCCTCACTCTCTTTGGGGGCTCCCCAGCACATTACAGATGATGCCAAACCCCTCCACTGACGCTAGAGACTAAGCTTCCAGCCATGGGGTACAGCTTGGTCTGCTGTGATTCCAAAGGGCTGCAGGACGGCTTTGGTGAACCCCTGCTCTGCCCCTTAGGAACTCTGAGCCTTCCCAGGCTCCAGTCTCCTCCTCTGCAGACTGGGAGCAGTCCCAGGACCAGCTCGCCGTCTTGGTTCTGGACATGAGTGGGATAACTCAAGAAGAGGGCAGTCCACCAGTCATTACTGTCACTGTCCAGGCACACTCAGTGTCTCTGCAGGGCACCTTCCTGACATGGCCACCAGGGTGGTTTAGGAACTTCTTAGACTTTGTCTAAGACTGAACTCTGAATCCCTTTTGCTTACCCCCAAGACCTGGCCCACAGCCACATGTTCCCCATATTCCCACTAGTCATTCCTCTGTCATTCTTCCAACTTTTCCTAAGTGACCCAGAGCTCCAGCAATGAAAGAATAAAGCTCTGCCAACTAGTTGTTCAAGCCAAAAGGGAGGCACTAAGCTGCAGGGGCAGTGTTGTGGGCACAACAGGATGCATAGGTGCAGGGATAAAGAGGTACAGAGAAAAGGGGTACAGCAGTACAGGAATTGAGGTACATGGGCAGATAAGTACAGGGATGCAGAGATGAAGGGTTGCAAAGATGAAGGTGTATAGGGATGCAGGATATCCATCAGGCAGGCAGACCCATCACCACTTGGGCCCCCAGCAGGCAGTTTCTCCTTCTGCTTGGTCTACCAATTAAATCAGGGTACCTCTTGTGGGAGAGCTAGGGCTTGACCAATACTGGTAGTGTGAGTGCCTCATGCTCCCTGGAATTGGTGAGCTGGGGAACCGTTAAAAAAACAAGGACAAATAGAAAAATTTCTTGACTAGGAGGGTGGGACTGCTGAGTTTGGACTTGAGTTCAAGGAGGCTTCTAGAGATCCTGGCCTTGTGGCCTGAGGTGTGGTCACTGCAGACTCAGTCCAGAAAAAGTCCTATACAATGTGGCCTCTGAGGATGGAGGGAGATAGGGCTTTGGAAGGGAGAGGGTTGGGGACTACCTGTCCTTCACATTGAGATTTCAGGGGACATCTTCTAGCTTGCTTTCTCATTCTGTCTTTATTATGTTTTCACCTTTTATTTCTAATAGAGGATCTCTGAGTCAGTATCATCTCAATAGCAAAGAGTTTGGCTTGGTTATTAGTGATCTTTTAAAATATTTACTTTTCCCAACTATAATTTTTTTTCAGTGTTTTACTTTTGTTGTTGGTTTGTGACTTTGGAGATCCCACGTGTTATGGAGTAGAACCACTCCATGCATTTTTCTTGGCTGAAACCTTTTTTAGAAAACCTCTTGTTTCTTCTGAAGTGCTGCTGAATGGGTTTGAACCTCCAGCCTTTTAGGCTATTGTTGTTTGTTGTTGTTGTTGTTATGTGCCGTTGAGTCGTTTGCGACTCATAGGGACCCTATGTACAACAGCCCTAAACCGTGCTCTATCCTGTGCCAATCTCATTGCCTCTGACACACCCATCCCAAGTACCCCAGTCACTGAATCAATCCACCTCATAGAGGGTCTTCCCCTCCTGCGCTGTCCCTCCACTCTAACCAGCATGATGTCCCTCTCTAAAGACCTGTTTCTCCTTACAACATGTCCAAAGTATGTCAGACGAAGCCCCAGAATCCTTGCCTCCAAGGAGCAGCCTGGTTTAATCCTCTCTACGATGAATCTGTTTGTTTTCTTGGCAGTCCATGGTACATTCAATACTCCTCCAGCACCACAGCTCAAGGCGTCAATTCTTCTTCTATCCTCCCTAGTCATTGTCCAACTCTCTGATGCATAACAAGTGATTGCAAAAACCATGGCCTGTATCAGGCGGACCTTAGTCTCCAGAGAGACATTGTTGCTCTTCAGTATTTTGGAGAGGTCCCTAACTGCAGACTTTCCCATCGCAATACGTTTTTTTATTTCCTGGCTACTGATGTCAAGAGTGTTGACCGTGGAGCCGAGCAAACCGTTGAATTGTCTGTGACTACCCTGTGTATACATAGTTCTGCCCTGTCCTGAGCCAGTCTCATTGTCTCAAACACACCTACCCCCATTACCCAAGTTACTATATCAATCCATCTCACCTGGGGTCTTCCTTTCCTGCACTGTCCCTCCACCCTTCCAAACATGATGTCCTTTTCCAAGGA